GAGAGAGAGAGAGGGGTGTCGAACACGACGATGATCGGGGGGAGGGAAAGAGTGTGCGCGCGTGTTGTAATCGCTCGATTCGATAATTTCCGACCGATCAGGCTCGCCCCACCTGGTGTGCACCGTTTTACCAGCCCACTGGAGGTCGAACAAGACCCTCCCGGTCGCGTTCAAGGTGGTGGCCCTCGGCGAGGTCGGGGACGGTACCCTGGTCACCGTTCGCGCGGGCAACGACGAGAATTGCTGCGCCGAGTTGAGAAACTCGACCGCCCTGATGAAGAACCAGGTGGCCAAGTTCAACGATCTGAGGTTCGTCGGGAGAAGCGGAAGAGGTGAGTCGAGAGAAGAGTAGTTCGGGCGAAATGTAGTGTAGTTTGTCAAACGTCGAGGTTTAATTCCTTCTTCCTTTCTTCCTTCTTCTTCATTCGTTCGTTCGTTCGTTCATTCATTCGGCGAACTCTCGAGTTTGTTGATCTTTCGCCCTCGTTGACGAATTGCGTTACGGAAGAAAAGGGGGGGGGGAAGGGTGGTGACGGCGGCGGGAAACAGCCAACACTTTCGGGGAAGAATCGAGGCTTCGTAGTAAGGGTAGGTCGGGCACGTCTCGGGAGACGACGACGACGACGACGACGACCCTACTACGACACCCTCGTCGTCGTTTTTCCCTCGCCTTGGAGGAAAAGAATCGGAGTCTAAGCAAGCCTCGTCGCGACCTCGAAATTGGACGTTTCGCAGGGGTTGCCGAGGCGTTGATTGGCGTGCCAGCCGAAACTCGAGGAGGCGACGACGATGTCTTGGGGTGGGTAATGGGTTTTATTTGTCCGCGCCACCGCCACCGCCGCCGTGCAACCTCCTCTTTACTTTCCTTCTTCCGAGCCGTCTCTCCCCCTCCCCCCCCCCAAGAACGGCCTCTCGTTCCACGAGGGAAGGAGGGAAGGGTGGTTGGAAAAGGAGGCGACGCCCCTCGAAAACGATCGGGATTATTAATCGAGGTTTCATTTGGGATTTTAATTAACGTTATTATCAGGGTTGTTTCGCGTTGATCGCGAACCCCTCTTCCTTCGACTTCCTACTTCTTACCCTGTCCCTTCGAATCGTCGAAAATTATCCACGAGTTTGGATTCGAGTCGAGCGGAACCCTTTCTTTTCTTTTCTTTTCTTTTCTTCTTTTCTTTTGTTGACAATGATCAATGGAATTATCAACGAGACCGACGCGAATCGATATCGTTCACCACGGTTCATGTTCAAGTTGGCGCGCGAGGAGAGATGCCGAATAATTTGGAAGGAGGAATCGAAGGAGGAGGATAGATAGGGATGTTGGAAACCCGTGGAATACCCGAATTTTCTATCCGGCAAACGAGGGGGGCGAATCCACCCTCACGGAAACGCGTCAGTCATTTGTCTGGGATTAGCTCTCAATTGTTTTCGTCGAGCGCGGAATTAACATAAGCTAGGATGAAGAATGTAAGAGAAGTGTCTCTCGTCAGGATTCCTGCGACTTGCCTCGCCTCCTTGAATTATTCCCCGGGAGGACCGATGCGCGCCTAAACGAATCCCTAATGATCCACCCGTTTGTTCGAACTCGAAAACATTCCTCTGTACGTGGTTGGGGGGGAGGGGGAGGGGGGGAGAGAGTGAGTGGATGCCTTCTCCGTCCTGATTCCACAAGTATCGTCAGATAGAGATCCTCGGGCTGGGGGAATGGGAAATTGTGGTGGAAAAAATTATCCTCCTCCCCCTTCAATGGCGAAACGTGGCGAATAGAGAGGAGTCGTTTCATTTCGTTGCAAATTTTGTTGCAAATTCGAGGGTTAGAAAATCTTATCGCTAGATGAGAGACTAGAGGCGAGGTGGTTCGTTCGCGTGTGCAAAGTTGAAGGGTAGCCCATCTGCTGGTAGGGCTGAAACTATAAGCGCCCAAATGATCTATCTCGTTACAGAGCTTAGGCTTGAAGGAGGGGGGGGGGGGTTGGAAACGATTCAGACTTTGCCGCGGATGGAGCTGGCATTACGGATGAACGTGCGGGAGCAGGGTCATAGCTTATCGTCGCTATATTCTTGAGCCATGCGCTTCTGGTTTCACTTCGAACCAAAAAGAGACGATTATTTTTCCCGTAAAAATCGTAATTCGAACGGAGAACACTTCTTTTCTTTCTTTCTTAAGCGCGAGATTCGATTCACGACACGATTCATAAAAATTCACAAATTGCCGATATTCGTGCAATATTCGAAGAAGGGATATTTCAGGCGAAACGAAAATTCGACGGCGACAGTTCATCCTGACATAATTTCGATTCGACGTATTTATCAGCGTATGAAACATTCGCGATTTCGTTCGGGGAAAATTGAAAATTAATTGGTAAAGCTCGACGAACGATATCCGCGTGCTCGTTATCAGGATCCCCACATTTTCCCCGAGAATCGCGCGTTAACGATCGTTATCGTTACGGGAATCGAGATCGTTCAGCTTCTTTTCTCTTCTTTCCTTTTCTTTTCTTTGTTTTTCCTCTCATTCCCTTAATATTTGTCCACAACGATTCTTTTCGATCCTCTCTTTCGATCGATTTGCTGCTTCTCCTGGTCAAAGAGATATTCGAGCATGGAAAGGGTCGATTCGATTCGATTTCGAAGAAGGGAGGGGCTAAAATTTTAATCAAGCAAGTCGTAACGTACTACACACGCGGTGGTAATAAACGGGCAGATTTAAAAGATCGAAAGAAATTTCGAAGGGAAGAGGAGGAGGAGGAGGAAAGGGAAAAAAAAAAAAAAGAAATTGCCGTTGGAGAATGGGTTTAACGGTGGATGGAAAGAAAGGGTGGCGTTATCGGGAGGGAGGGGGGTGTGACCTTTAAACGGTTCGACGGCGACTGGCACCAAGGGTGATACGTAACTACGTGTGCCGAGCTGGCTGTGCGGAACCAACATAGACTCGAGCAACGGGTGAAAAGGTTTGCCAGGGTTAGGTAGGCCATAGAGGGATGCCGTGACTTGCAACAAAACTGACGGGACTCTCCCCCAGTTTCGAAAACGAGAAGCTCGCGTGGTGAACCACCGTGTGGCCACGCTCGACACTCGACCCATTATTCCTGCCTCCATAATCTTTCCACCGTTCTTTCCCCCTCGTTCTTTTCTCTTCATTCGCGCTAAATCTTAAAATCGCCCGGAAAGAAACCTACCCTATGTACGTTCGCGAATTCCACGAACTCTTTGCAAACCCAATTTTTTTTTTTAAATTAGGCTGAAATTAGGCTCAAATTGTTTTCGTCCATTTGAAGTTACAAACGATATCATCCTGATTTCAATATCCATTTATTTATACGATAGGCTGATACAGGTGTCGATATTACGCATGGAATGCAGAATCAAAATTTCGTAATTCTAAGGATTCCAAGTGTCTCGAGATTTGAGATCTCTGAGAAGAGATGGATCAATTTTGATTAATCCATCTAATCACGAATTTAATGTTACATTTCTCTCTCTCTCTCTCTCTCTCTCTCTCTCTTACGAAGACGTCGT